TTTAAGGTCAAGCAGAACTGACTGGACTAGCACATACAGCCTCTTTTATTCACAATCCACAAATATAGTACTGCCCACAGGGTTTTGAAACACAGCCAATCAATCCGTACAATACACACAGACACTCCCACACAAAATCCTCCCCTCTGCCTGTGATAAGATTACTGAACACAATGGTTAATCTACTTATCACAGGCAGAGAAATACAGTATCATAAAACACATCACAGGGACCCCAAAACATGCAATAACCCCATATCCAAAATTCACCCAGATCCGTTCAGTACTTTGGAAGATACAGTTTAATGCAGATTCCAACATATGCAGGCTATATGAAAAACAATTACTGTATAATGTGTCCCCTGTTGTATAGTCCAAAACCACTGCACGATGTCTCTGTGCACCAAATACAGGCGAGATGGCACCGTGTTGAAAAGTCCAAACAGTGTCTGTGAGTTAAAATGGCGCCATCCATTGTTCTCACCATGTGCTTCTGATACAGGAAATGGTGGCCACCCAGTAACTCCACAGTATGTCCCCAGATGGTTCTTAAAGGGCCAGCAGCAGCACAACACAAATCCATTATGCCCAAATCATGTCTTTAAAGGGCAATACATCCCAGGGGCCATAGTCACAGGGCAAGAGGCGGGCAAGCAGTCCTCTCCAGTGCATAGTGGCGAGGTCGGTTTCGCCACACACACACTGACAGACATACATATTCCCTCTGTCAGTCCCTACATTGGCTTCCCGTAAGATATAGGACTCAGTTTAAGATCCTGATACTTTATTACAAATCTCTATACAATGCTGCTCCCACCTAGCTATTCTCACTAATATACAAATATGTCCCCTTTACAACCTGTCTAGTTATGGGGGGTTACAGTATTTATGGAGATATCTACTAAACACGTTTACATGCACACACTATCATATACACACACTGACAGACATACATATTCCCTCTGTCAGTCCCTACATTGTCTTCACATAAGATATAGGACTCAATTTAAAGCGGTACATGGAGCTGTCTCTTTACTCCGGTCACAATCCCAGCTAATCTTGAGTGTAAGGTCACTGAGATCAGACCCACATCCAGATCCCCTACAGCATGGACCTTTTTATCATCTCTCTCTCTGTCCTCATTATCTCCCTCCTCAGTATCACAATAGTCAGCGCTGTCTGATTTCCGTGCTTGTAAGACAGTTAATGGATCCATCATGTTACACAGCTCCTCAATGTGACCCATCTTCCTGGACAGAACCTCCTTCTTTATTTCCAGCTGTCGGATTAGATCTGAGACTCGGAGTGAGACCTGCTCTTCCTGCCTGGAGATCACTCAGGACTCGCTTCTCTAGAGCTTCCAGCTATTCCCTGATGCCTCTAATCAGGGCAGTAACTTCCTCTGTTACCCCGGCTGCTTTTTCTTGCACTTCTCTCCTGAGCTCCTGCAGGTTCTGGACTCTTTTCTCAGCCTCCTCTCTCTTTAAGGTCAGTTTCTGCAGAATATGTCTCAGTTTCTCCTTCTTCTTCTCAGAGGCCTCATTCAGAGTCTCCACCTGGTGGCCCCTGTGCTCTTCAACTGAGCAGTACACACAGAAACAGGCAGCATCCTCAGAGCAATAATACTCCAGGACCATCTTGTGGACGGAGCAGAAATCATTTTCTTATATCGTTTTCTTATCTCTCTATCTCGTCATAACTCCACCACCTATATCCTACCAGTGGGGGATCAACGCCACTGAAGTCTACAATAACTTGAGCCAGTTTATGCTCATGAATAGGTGAGTGGATCATCTGCCGTTTGAATTTTTATCTTTCAACTTGTCGATTTGCAATCTGCACTATTGGAGTATTTCTGTTTCTTTTACACGTTTACATACCCACTATTGAACTGAGATACCTTCAACATCAGAAGACCCAGCTACTCATTGGGCTCATTCCATATTCAAGCACCTCTACAGGTTTAATTAAAGACATTTTAGTACTGGGATTACTATTTTTTTTACTTATATACATTTATTTTATATTATTTATTATTCTCTTGTTCCTATAGCACAACCTATATACCATTTGTTCTGTTTGTTTATCTCATTTGAGGGTATGTGAGGGAACCCCAAAATTATAGGTTGCTGCTTTCACATTTGCTCTTAGCCTCTATTTGATTATTTAGCGCTGATCCATCATCTTTCTGTTTAACATTGTTTGATATACTGGAGCAGGAGGTGAAGAGGGCCCTGCCCAAACGATCTCACAATCTAAATACATTTAAATACATTGATAATAAGACGTATTGGTGGGTTGTTGTACTTCTCAGCTCCTAGTAGAGCAAGGCATAATGTGTAGTCAGACAGTGACAGCATGTGACAGGGGACAATTGTACTATAACGGATCAGTGTATTATCACAGCTTATTGTATTATTACATCTTGTTATATTATCACAGCTTATTGTATTATTACAGTTATTATATTATTACAGCTTATACTGTGCAGACACCCCCCCCATATACTGTGCAGACACCCCCCAATATACTGTGCAGACCCCCCCCCAATATACTGTAATCTCCCCTCGGATGGCTGAGGGTGTTGAAAGCAGGGGGAGACTGACCTGTTTTAATGCAAGGATGGGAGTCCGCGCGTGCGCAGTATAGGGGTAGGGAAATTTGATGGCCATTTGGGTCTGTCCTGTGAAATTTCCCTACCCCACATTGCGCACGCGCGGTCGATTGTGTCCACGCACGCGCAGTATAGGGGTAGGGAGATTTAACAGGAGAAATGACCATCAAATTTCCCTACCCCTATACTGCGCACGCGCGCTGTACCTCCGACGGGAGTACTAGACGCGCGTGCGCAGTGCGGCGTTAATTTCCCCTGCTCGCTGTTAACAGTTCCTAACTGGAGGTTGTGCGCCTGCGCGATGCGGCACACCTCCTCCTCTATTGGTTAGACGTCACTTCTGCGGCCGCATAAGTGGCGAGGGTATGTCTTTTTCGGTATGTCTTTCTGATAGAACACCCCCAGATGCAGGACACCAATGAACCAAATAGGAGAGTCCCATCGAAATCAGAACTGTTTGGAGACTAATGACGGTTAGAGCATTGCAGACTCTGGTTAGAATCCATTAAAATGACCAGCAGCCGTTACTGTCACTGTAACACGTTACTTAGAACTTTCTATAGAAAATAAACTTACAATAAGGAACAACAATTCATTACAGTTTATACACTCTGAATATTGTGTTATAGAAAAGACAGATCATCAGGAACTCTCAGGGTTAACAGTCAGGAAGTTAAATCACGATGATACAAACTATCCGCCCACTGGGTGTGGAATGTGGTCAAACACATCTCACTGATTTCTGAGAAATTACAAACATTAAGTTTCGTTTCTTGTTCCCGCTTTCACTGATGACGTCTGCTGATCTGAGAGACGAGCTGACCTGCTCCATCTGTCTGAACATTTATACAGATCCTGTAACCCTGCCATGTGGACATAGCTACTGCCGGGTCTGCATTGACAATGTGCTGGACACACAGGGGGTGAGAGGATATTACTGTCCTGAATGCAGGCAATTATTTAACACAAGACCAGACCTGCACAGAGCTCTAACACTGCGTAACATAGTGGAGAGCTTCCTATCTACTCACCCAGAGCAGGAGGAGGTTGGGATCTCCTGTACGTACTGTGACTCTCCTGTACCAGCTGCTAAAACATGTCTGCTGTGTGAAGCTTCTCTGTGTAATAAACACTTAAAGAAACACAGCCAGTCAGCAGAACATGTCCTAACTGAACCCACCACTTCACTGGGAGACAGAAAATGCTCTGTCCACAAGAAGGTCCTGGAGTATTACTGCTCCGACGATGCTGCCTGTATCTGTGTGTACTGCTCAGTTGGAGAGCACAGGGGACACCAGGTGGAGACTCTGAATGAGGCCTCTGAGAAGAAGAAGGAGAAACTGAGACATATTCTGCAGAAACTGACCTTAAAGAGAGAGGAGGCTGAGAAAAGAGTCCAGAACCTGCAGGAGCTCAGGATAGAAGTGCAAGAAAAAGCAGCCGGGGTAACAGAGGAAGTTACTGCCCTGATTAGGGGCATCAGGGAACAGCTGGAAGCTCTAGAGAAGCGAGTCCTGAGTGAGATCTCCAGGCAGGAAGAGCAGGTGTCACTCCGAGTCTCAGATCTAATCCGGCATCTGGAAATAAAGAAGGAGGATCTGTCCAGGAAGATGGGTCACATTGAGGAGCTGTGTAACATGATGGATCCATTAACTGTCTTACAAGGACGGGAATCACACAGCGCTGACTATTGTGATACTGAGGAGGGAGATAATGAGGACAGAGAGAGAGATGATAAAAAGGTCCATGCTGTAGGGGATCTGGATGTGGGTCTGATCTCAGTGACCTTACACTCAAGATTAGCTGGGATTGTGACCGGAGTAAAGAGACAGCTCCATGTACCGACTAATATATTACAGGGGGTAAACACGGCTTCAGACATGTCATTGGGTGTAAACACGGCTTCAGACATGTTACTGGGGGTAAACACGGCTTCTGACATGTTATTGGATGTAAACACTGCTGCTAATGATGTAACTGTATCTGGTGATATGAAAACTGTATCCTGGTCACGTATAGAGCAGAGTCGCCCAGAAACAGCAGAGAGATTTCAGTCTGATCAGGTTTTAAGCTCCAGGAGTTTCTCCTCAGGGCGACATTACTGGGAAGTGGAGGGCAGTGACTCAGAGGGATGGATGGTAGGGATGGCCTATCGCAGTATAGACAGGAAAGGAGGTCAGTCACGGATTGGATTTAATAACAAGTCCTGGGGTTTGGGGAGGAGGATTAATAATCAGTATTATGTGAGACATGACAGTAAAGATATCCGGTTACCCCCTCCCCCCCCTTCCAGCCGGAGATTGGGGATATACCTAGACTACGAGGCCGGGCGGCTGTCCTTTTATGAGCTGTGTGACCCCATCAGACACGTTCACACCTTCACTGCCACCTTCACTGAGCCGCTTCATGCTATATTCGGGGTATATAGGGGTAATACCTGGCCTGCTATGTGGGATAATGCCTGGCTGAGAATGTATTGAATGATTTATTAATCTAATTAAAGAGATTTAATCCCGGAGTGGGAATCACGAGACGGTAATACTGATCTCGGTGTGGGCGGAGCATCATAACAGGGTTAGCTCCTCCCACTTGACCTGTGTATGGGCGGAGCCTGTTACTAAGCAACAGCTGCTCTGTGTGTCACTGTGTGTGATTGTCGGTGAATGTTACTGACATTAATGCAGCATTACTCAATACAGACAAACGTCTCCATAATTAAACTATAGTCACAGCTGGTATCCTGCATGTTAGAGATTGCTTTTTAATTCAAATCTGTGTGTGTGTGTGAGCTTGTGTTGTCTGATTGTGATGAGAGTTAGAGTTTAATGTATCTGAAATGTCAGACACACTGGGCTGTCATTGCTTTGTTTCCTTGTCTCAGGTCGCTGCCCCGGTTCCATCCCTCCAATCCCTTATCACTCTCTGTATACCTAACAATGTAAATCCCGGATTGCTGCCATGTTTAATATTAAAGTGTTGAGCTACGCTGTGTCCCTTAAATCCCGTGTTTATATAATGTATATGCTCTTCCACTCGAACGTGTGGCTGTCTCTAGGTATACTGTAATGTCAGCTCTGCTACTGATAGCTGCTCTCGACTACAACTCCCATCATGTATGTGAATGTGTGAGTCATTATGTGTACTGGGTGATTATTATTGAATATTAGCTGACTGGGTGTGATGGGAGTTATAATGTTTATGGAAATAAATAAAATAAAAAAACTGCCAAATCAGTAAAATCCCACTGTTTTCCTATTCAGGCAGCACTAAATCTGTATAAAGACCTGACATTTGCACAGTCGTTATTCGGCATGTGCTACCCCTTACGCTTAAATAAAACACTGACACCGATAATTCTGTTGGAGTATAAAGTCCACAGCTTTATTAATTAATTATAATAAATTAACATAATCTAGGGCCATTGTCCTACTAGACATTATGTTACTATACCCCCACACAGTACCCCTGACAATGACCCTAGCAATTAAACAATAAATAACAACAAATAACATATAACTTGAAACACACGGCCTACCAAAGAGGCCCCATATCGTCCAGTTAACTGTAGGGGTATACCTCGGACACCCTTACACCCCCAGGTTCGTAGCCACCAAAGAGCTAGAACCAACCAATCCTTAACTCCATCCGGCCTAAACCTCGGCCTGTCCATTTCCAATTCCACGCAAGTTCCAATATATACACCGCCCTGTTCCGCCACAGCACATGGCTTGACCCCCTTAAGCTAATGTGCGACCCCCACCATATCTAAACAGGGCCTGTGCTATACCATCCTGAAAACCTAGGTTCAGCAAATCATTCCCCACATCCGATAGGTGAATACCATCCCTCCTAAAATATCCCGGCAGCATACCCTCTAATTCCCTATGCCTCACCACCACGCCCCCGGACCGTCTAATAAAGACTGACATAATTTTGTTGACCTTACCCCTAGATCGAGCTATTGCAGCTGGATCCCTGGCGTGTTTCCACGTAAAGCGAGGCACCATCTCAGACCAAACTACGACCACGCCAGGAACCAGCTCCCTCAGCCGATCCATATCCCTCTTCATTTTTCGAACCAGTAACCTTTGAGGAAGCAAGCCCAGGTCGTTCCCACCTCCGTGGACCAGTACCACGTCTGGGACCGCCCCCCCCGACAACTTTTTAAATAACGCGCTGCAGAGACCCTGCCAGCTAGCGCCCCTCAAACCAAGCCATGATAATTCCACTCGTTCCAGAGGAAAACCCAGCTGCGTTCCGCATCTTCGAACTGCGGCTCTCTTCTGCGCCCAGTACACATACGAGTGTCCCATCAACCAAACTTTCAAACCTGAAAGGAAATAAAATTAGTTGCGAGGAGACAAATGCCCCCCCCCCCTTTCTCAATTTCCTACCCAACGCTTACTTACACCAGCCTGTCAGGCCTCACATACGTGCGGAACCGCATGGATTCCCACCTCCCGATCCGCTTAATCCGCTCGTCCCCCAAACCAAGGCGTGCTGCCTCCGTCGCTGCGCCTATGCGGAACGAGTGCGTCCCAAATTGCTTGGGCTCCAAGCCCAGCCTCTGTAAACCCGCTCGAAAAACCCGCAGAAATTGGAAGCGGGACAGCGCCGTCCCATCTGCATGCAGGAAAAAACTACCAGCCAGCCCGGGACGGACATCCAAGTACCGCGCCCCGCAAGCCACCGGGCACGCCCTTGAACCCGGTAACTCGTACAACACCACAGAGCACCCTTTACCAAACACGTCCGTTTTAGAGCGGCGCAACCTGATCCGCACCCTGTCGTTACATAAGTCCACGTCGTCGAGCAGCAATCCGCCGGCCCCTTTCCTGTTGGGGCTCACCAGCTCGCCAATCCGGAAGGCTCCGAAGAACGCCCATACAAACGCTCCCGAAAATAGCGCCACCTCAAAAGGGGAATGACACAACCCAGCCAACGCTCCTAACAACCCTTGCAACACCGAGAACGACACCGGTCTTCTCGTGTCCCCAAACTTCTTACCCTTCCGAAAACCTCGAATCGCCTGACGTATCATGAAATTCTTAGTAATGTCCTCCCAACCATTGAACTTAAATAAAAAGGCCAGGGCAGACATATACCTGTCCACCATGGCCGGCGAAGCCTGTCTTGAGAACAGGCGACACAGCAACCATAGCAGCACGTCCCCCCGCTGCCCCTCCGAAAAAACGCCTCCTACCTGTTGAACTGTCTCCTCCCATTCGTGAGCAAACAATGGGTCGCAAGAGTATTCTGAGAACGGACAGCAGCTAAAATAGCCTGCCCTTCGGTGGGTCCCCGCTCAGAACTCATGCTGGTTTTAGCTCAACTTGTGCCATTACAGAGAGAACATATTTGAAGCATATCAGACTGGTCCCACCCATACGGGCAGTCCAGACCCGAAATGCCAGCAAGTTCTCTCTGCACGAGAGATACAGCAACCCCAGACGATCGCTTCAGCCTTGTTAGGCATCGTCAGTGAGGCATAGCTGATATCTCTCTAGGCACCGTGAGCAAGGGGTCCACGTCTGGATTACCCTTTAGACTAATGGTGAGCAAACAATGGGTCGCAAGAGTATTCTGAGAACGGACAGCAGCTAAAATAGCCTGCCCTTCGGTGGGTCCCCGCTCAGAACTCAAGCTGGTTTTAGCTCAACTTGTGCCATTACAGAGAGAATATATCTGAAGCATATCAGACTGGTCCCACCCATACGGGCAGTCCAGATCCGAAATGCCAGCAAGTTCTCTCTGCACGAGAGATACAGCAACCC